AAAAAATAAGGGAGAATTATCGAGAGGTTTCTGGAAGGAATGCCAGAAAGTGATGAAAGACGATGGAGGGGGGACCGGACGGCGCATCCCATATTCGGTCATTCCGTGATAGTTCTTTAGTTTACGCGACAATAGATTATAGATTATTCACCATTCTATCTCTTAAAACAATTATACCAAAATCGGTTAACATCAATGTTAAGCGTTAATGATTAAGTCATTATTATTATTACCTTTTATATTTTATTCAAATTATAATAAAATAAATCTTACAATTGTAATAATACTAATTATACTAAGATAATCGCAAAAAAATATTTCTATCAATTATTCGGTTGTCTTTTATTTCTTATTGATTGTTTTGCAATATTTTTTTTGATAGCGTATTTATTAATAATATAAATGTTCCTTAGTTAACGAAGCCAAAAAAAACTATTGATTGTAGTTTTAATAATCGCATAAAATAAAAAGTTTTTTATGAATTGATAATTTTGTTCAAAATAAAAATAACACAAAATAAATATAGATTCGTACTATTTTATAAAAAATGATTTGTCATTTTGAGGTTTCATGAATATTTGCATAATTTTGTTGAATTGATCGATGATTTAAAAATTGTCGAGAACGTAAGAACCGACGTAAAGTACTTGTTAAGTTAAAACCACACTTCTACGTAGCGACCAGAGATAAAAAAATATTAGAACGTAGAACGGAAATTCAATTATCTCGTTATCTTTCTAGAATTAGATATTTTTGTTTACTTTATCCTGTTATATATGAGTCGTTTATTTTTAAAACTATGCGGGTCCACTTTTTTGTTCTTTTATATGAAAATATTAGATCCTATTACGACTATTAATAAGATTAATTTAGTTTTTCTAACTTTAGACCAATGTTATTTACAAATTAAATGGCTCGTATAAATATAATATTTATGTTTCAAATTTCATAAATTAAAATAAATTAATTAAATTATATATTAAAATAAAATAATAATAATAATAATAATAGTAAATTATTTATGAGAGATTATTATTATCCTTTTATGAATTCTTACACACACAGAAATGAATATTTTTATTAATAATATATAAATATAAATAGATATATTTAATTGTTTACAGCCTTTTTTAGTACATTAAATGTACTTGATTTTCTGTAATAGACTTATATAAACTTCATATAAACGATAATTTTCATATTAAAAAAATCAGATAAATACGTATTTACTGATGAATTATCGACATAATATAATCGATAAATTGTTGATAAATTATCAACAATAACTTCTTATAAAGAAATAACTTATTAACGATCAATCAATGAATATAAGAAGAAAATTAATTATATTCAATATTAAATTATTATATCATTCATATGTATTCATAAGCTAGATCACATTTGATTGCATGTGCAATAATCAATTACCGATTACGCAGGACATCTTACGGATCAATTTCCTTCAGGAATGAAATGGCGCATATTTATAATTGAATAGCTACAAAATATCTTTTTGTCCTCGAAATTAATTAATGGACAAAGTATATAATGCTTGAATATAAGCTTCAACGGAGATTCTCCGCAATTATTAATCGCTATAATATTTTCCATGCCACAAATTTCAATATCCTAGTTTCCTGAAACAACTACGTCATGCAAATCGCGTAAATGAAATCAGTGCATACGAAATACATCGAGTACGTTGCACGCGTGTACACATGGTCCTGCATATCATATATAATTGAAAACTATGAAAGTCAGAAATTAAGAATACAACAAATTACATGTTCATTATATTTATTTAAGAGAAGAAAAAGAAATTTTGTTTTAAATAATTTTAACGCGATGCATCAATCATTTGACACGCTACTAGATTAAGGTCAAGTTAAGCTGTTTTTATATTTTACATTTCATTATATTTACCAACTTGTACTTACGTTGATATACATGTAGTTGCGTATCTACGTGGTTACGTAATTTGATTTATTGATTTCTTTTAAAAGCGTAAGAAAAAAAAACTAAAATAAAATCTTTACGACCGAGTTCAAGATGTTCTTATTTAAAACGCGATCGATTACTATATTCGTGTTTTACGTAGTTTTTATTTTTTCGATACAACATGTTAACACGAATTTATGACAATTATTAATCCTGCGAGAGAGAGAGAGAGAGAGAGAGAGAGAGAGAGAGAGAGAGAGAGAGAAAGTTGAAAACTTTAAAAATGTAAAAGGAAAGAAAAATAAAAACAAATCATCAACTTTTTATAATTCAATTTCAATCGATTAATAGTATATTTGCAAGTTCGTATTATAGATAACTCTGATTTAATTGAAACATGTTTCAACACTGTGTACGATAAGGAACATTCGCAAAAATGTTCTATGTTGGATTTTCGTGTTAAAAAGAAGAAATGTAACTGACAGAAAACAACACTGTTGGATGCGTATAAAGTAGACAATGCAAACACACATATGCATCTTTAATTGTCCCACTTTTCAGAATACATGAAAATATCTAAAGAGCACACAAAATTGTTACTTCGATCTCGTTTCAGATTCAAATTTCTTAAAAGACAAGAAAATACTTGGAATCCACCAAAATAAAAAACACTCATTAGAACATCAAACTAATCATAACTGGGGTTCCGCAGGGTAGTATCCTCGGACCGATTTTTTACACCCTCTATACGTCAGACATACCAATAAACGCAAACTGTACAGTCTTAACATTTGCAAAAAAAAAAAAAGCATTATGCTTACCATAAACAAGGACCCGCAACAAGCAATTCAATCGTTACAAAAACAAATCAACTCTTTTGAAACATTATTACGTAATAGGAAGATCAAGATAAACTCTACCAAGTGTAAACATATCACGTTTACACTAAGGAAAAACCAAATATCGAAACTACAACTATATAATTTGTCTACGGACAAATTGTAAAGATGTATGGAGTTAATAAAAAAAAAAAGAAAAAAAAAGAAAAAAAAAGAAAAAAAATCGATATAACAATGACAGAATAAGATGAAAATAAAGTAACGCGATAAGCACTTTTTGTTTCTTGATTAGTTGTTAATCTTGAAAGTCGATGGAGATTTTCTCAACGTTTTTTATGCTCGTTACAATGCAGTGCTTTCTCAGAAGATCGATAGTGCAAGATACGTAACAGCAATCTTGAAATTAGCGTGCCTTTGTTTTTATTATAACTGATTCTTCATCAAATCAAATTTCTTAATACTATAAGGAGTACTATATATAAATCTCAGGTTCCATTTTCTAAAAATTTATTTCCTTTCACACATTTAGTGTTAATGATATAAATAATTGTATTTATTATTATAATTATCATGCAATACTTAAAAATATTTGAATTAATTTTAATTAAAAATATTTAAAAGCTGCACAAAGGCGACAGGCCCAGACGGTGTAGTCTTACTATCTAAACAAAACATATCTACAGGAAACGTTTTCTTTCTTCTTCGTTCCATGCTACAATCTCACACACACTCATACCATCACACATGCACTCCTTTGTGGAAAACTTAAACACTATGGTCACACACTTCTAAGATATTCTGTATCCCCACATATATATGTCATTACCCATTGTCGAGAATTTTTAGATTTCAATAAAATACCTACATAGATCCTTCCACAAAACTCTATACAAATACATGTAAACAAACACAATAAGAGTATTTTGTATTGCAAAGAAATTCTAAGTAAATTATCCTATTGTAGTATATCTACTTGAACTTGACAAGTTAATACTGCGGAAGAGAATGCGGCATCGCTCGGTTAACTGTAAGTTATGCTAATATAAGCAAATTATTTCTTTTTTATTCAATTGCAAATAAATTTCAATGTGTTCATTTTGACGTCGCATGTATACGAGTTAAACAAACCGAAAAATCTGTTATAATTCATTCCTGCATTCTCTTTTTTTTAACCTTTCTTTCATTTTCCTGCTCTTTTTCCTTCTCTTTTTCCTTCTCTTTTTCCTTCTCTTTTTCCTTCTCTTTTTCCTTCTCTTTTTCCTTCTCCTTCTCCTTCTCTTTCTCTTTCTCTTTCTTTCTCTGATTAACATCTTATCAAATAAAAATATAATTATAATAATACAGCAAGTGATGGTGAATAAATAAATGAATAATATTTAAACAAAAATTAATTCATTTTATGTTTCAGACTGTCTCAGTTAGTGTTAGTGTTTTAACATTGACATGCATATCGATAGACCGATGGTATGCCATTTGTTACCCATTGAAATTCAGATCTACTACAAAATGGGCAAAAATAGCTATTGTTATTATCTGGACAGTATCTTTCCTTTTTGGTAATAATCTCTTTTTTAACATTATTATACTACAACATTAAAATATTCATTTCATTGATATTACATTGATTAGACAAAGCTCGTATAAAATAATAAATAGTAATTAATCGTATATTTCGTTTTTTTGTTTGTTTACAGATATACCAGATATAATAGTTCTCCATACGGCGCCATCCGGAAGTAAAGTCAAAACGATAATTTACACACAATGCAAATCATCTTTAAGTCATAAAGATCAAACTTTGCTTTGGGCCATAAAGTTAACTCTTTTCTACATCGTACCATTAATTTTCATGACAATAGCTTATCGGCAAATAATACGTGTTCTATGGCGTAGCGATATTCCTGGACATAACCGTGAGTAACAAACATAAATACAAAAATCTGAATTAAAACAAAATACTAAATCTTACATTATATGAAAGGGTAAGAACCGAAATGATCTAGCAATAAGTAATGTATGAAGGACATAGTGCTTTATGCCACACACAAATGCTGTAAAAAATCCAAATATTTTATTTCCTAATTTTCACGAGGAGTTTGAGAATCAAAGTGATCTAATTGTAAGTCTAAATTTTGACGAAAATCAATCATTTTCATTTTTTTAGGTTTCATTTATTTCACACTCGGTTATCTAATCTTTTCTATGATTTAAATTCTTTTTGATTCTCATCGCCTCATATATACAGGGTGTTTCGAAATTTATGGGATCCATTTCAGAAGTTGGTTCAAAAGTATAAAATATTAAAAGTATTTACATTGATCATATTTTCGAGAAAATAGATGATATAATCTATCACGTTACTAGACTCACAAAGATAAATGGTATGAAACAAATACCATTTGTATGTGTGTATGTATATGTTGCAGTTTCCCGTAGAAGCTTTCAGATGGGTGAGATACCTTCCACCGGTGCTGGAAACCCCGAAGGTCAATTGAGATCTCGACGTAAAGCAGCTAAAATGCTGATAGCTATAGTTGTCACTTTCGCCATTTGCTACTTTCCAGTACATTTGTTCTCGATCCTAAAGTACGTTCAGAGAAACAAAGATAAAAATAAGAATAATAAAAAAAGATTAAAAAAACAACGAAGAATATTTTAAAAAGTAAAAAACAAATAAGATACTCATGCCAAATTCATTTCAATCACAAAATAGACATTTTGTGCAAGTATTTTTGTTTTTTTCGAACACGCCGTCAGAAAGTCTAGAGTTTTATAAAAGAAAAATTAAGAAATTGTAAAACTTTACCTTGGATTAATAACGAAAATTAATAACGAAAATTAATAACGAAAATTAATAACAATTTTCTATTAATTTAAGTAGTAAGATGGAAAAGCTTCTTGTCATATTTTTTGTAAAAATATCTTTTTCAGATATACCATGCTTTTACCGTCCGGCGAATGGTCTATTAAAGCGAGTTTGTTCGTTCATTGGCTTTGTTACGTCAACAGTGCAGCGAACCCCTTGATTTACAATTTTATGAGCGGTAATTAAAGAATATATTACTTAAGACTTTATATATATACTTCAACCTATTGAATATTCACGTTTAAACAATATCGCATTGTCTGATAATGCAAACAATATTTCTTATATAACATATACAATATATTTATATATATATATATATATATACAAAGCGTATATTTAATGATATGGGTAGTTGTTTAAAAACATTCTGTCTGCCTTACTAAAATACGGGATAAAGGTTCCCCTACGGCATCGTCTTTAATTGGCATTTTTTGTTCTCCGCGTTATTCGAGATAGCATATCCTTAACGAAAGATATCTCTCGATGGCCTCGTAAGATAATCTCTTATTAAAGGGGATGCACTTAAACGCGTCCTTCCTACAACATTGACACGAAAAAGAGAATCGATTTGACCATTTAGATCATCGAATTTTTACTATTTATTTGAAAACAAGAAAAAAAAACATCAGTAAATCCATAGTGCTATTATTGTATTATATAAAGATCATAAAAAGCATCTAAGGAATAGGGGACATTTTGTTCGTATATCAACGCAATTTTTTCATTGAATTTTATTTTTATTCGTAAAATAAACCGACAAGGAGTTTGATTTCTCATCATATATAAAAGATAGTTCACAAAGTTTTATTCATCTTCGATTCGTTATTGTCGTATTTAAAATATATCTTTTAATTCAAGAATCAGAAAAAGGGGTAAATAACATCAAATCTATTTTCCAAAATACGACTAATGTCAATTAATTTTATTCCTATTTTTTTTATTCTTAAACATCAATAAACTCGAACCCGTTCGATTCGTAATTATTGTTTGAAATATCATTTTTATTTTATAATAAATACAAAAAAGAGGTCTTTAGTTTTTAGTGCATTTATTACCTTTCTGAACATATCTGGGGTAGTGGTTTGTATTTTCACTTGATTATCTTTAAGTTCTTTTATTACATAGTTATTTTGTCCAGCTGTTTCGTTTAATAACTCGAGCAGAGGGTCGATGTATATTGGTGGTGGTTTTACTGCTTTTTTTTCTTCTACTTTTCCTGTAGTGTTTTGTGGTTCTGCTGAATCGTCGAGTAGATCATAAGAGTTGCTAATGGATATGTCTTGAAGCCATTTTGTTGGTAATGATGCGGAAGAGTTCTTATTGTTGTTTTTTGGTTCATCCATCTTGCGCTTTTTTCAACCCTGTAATTTGGTTGATTTAGCGGGAATCCAGTTTTGCGAATCTTCCGAATCTGTATCCATCTCACTTTCCATACACGAGTTTCTATTATCTATTTTCATTATTCTCTTTTCTGTACGAGCAAGGTTAGAGTATTGTTTTGTTTCCATCGACGGTTGACCTATTTCGGTATTAGCTCTTGTTCGAATAATATAACTGCTGCCGTTATTAACTATTTTAAGAGATGAAATGTGTTGTTAACTTCCATGGTCAAAGCTTTTTTACTATAGGCTTGAACAAGCGATTACCCGCAGTGTTACTTCACTAGGACACTGGTCACTTCACCCTTGTATATGTAAACCTAACGTACGTTATACTATAATTCAACGTATTTATTATTTAAATACTTGTATTCTCGGGAGCGGTAGATAAACACGTCCATATTTACTAACGATTGAACGAAGAATGAGAAGATATTTTGATTGTACTTTATAGGTAAGTTCCGGTACGAGTTTCAACATACTTTTCGAGATTGTTCTCCTGTGAGCAATGTCACCATGAAATTTTTCACGTAATGACTATCATTTTACGGTTTAATGCTAAATGCTACTGTGAGCCCTTTGTGTCCTCAGTAAAAAGGCTATCCTCCCGCGCAAACAAATTCCTAGATATCACAGTGGAAACAAATCTCGGTGAAACGATCACAAAGCAATAAAGGACGGTGCTAATCGTGAAGTCGATTATACTTAGGATGAGCTATATGAATAATTCTTTTAATTATTGGCCATTTTTGGTAAAATAGAATAATTGCTTTACATATAATAATAATTATGAGACTATAAAGATATATTTCCTTTAAACAAACCATGTAATAATTCGTATGGACAAAGTTTATAATGTACATATATCATTTTTCCATTCTTTTTATGTTTAAATACTGCAATGTTATAAAGATTATGTGTAATGTATATAAATAGTGCTTATATATATATTATACATTGTATCATATTATACATTTTAGAGATATAATAAATTTCTATTATATAAACGATAAAAAAATATAAATATATTATTTGTATTAAATGTGAGATATATTATAAATTATGTTATATATTAATTATATTATACGTGAGTCAGTTAAAAATTTCTGAACCTAACATCGAAACAATTTTTTGTTGATCAAACTCATTTGTAAAAACTATTTAATATTTCTTATTGGTAAACCTCAGAACTTTTCAACTCACCCTCGTATATTAATTACATTCATTTAAATTATATTATATTTTGTAATACAAATAATATTAATATTATTATTTATATATACTAATTTTTTATAACAATACCTCTACGACTTATAATTAAAGTAAATATATACATGTATATACGTATGTTAAAAAATGTAATTAAATGTACGTATACATGAGTACTCGTCTCGTATAAATCAATTTTATTCCATAAAATTCACTGTAACAAGTAATTAGAGTACTCCAACTAGTTATTGGCATTTATTGGAATATTTTAAATTGTCTTACTTTATTGAAAATTGACCAATAACTATCTGTAACGATAATACACATATAACTTACCCTTAGATTATCGGTTTAATGCTGGTCTTCGTCCATTCTGTTTTTTATTTTTAATATAAACAATTTTTCAGAGCTCAACAATTTTTTCGTTAAAAATCATTTCACTAAGTTAATAAAAAAAAGAATATTTTCTGACTAAAATTTCATTTCTTGCAGGTAAATTCAGGAGACAATTTAAACGGGCCTTTCCCTGTTTCAAGAAACACAAAAATCGTGCAAGACCAACTCGAATAGCAAATATTACGAGTTTTTTCGCGGCGAGATCTCGCGCAACAATTAAATCTCTACAAACCCCGACTAATAGTAATAACATTCAACGAAATACCGAGATCATACCATTGAGCGGATTCGCGATTAACGAACAACCGCGTACTAACGGTAAATCAGAATAAATTCTAATCTAATATAAATAATATAATGATCTCTCTCTCTCTCTCTCTCTCTCTCTCTCTCTCTCTCTCTCTCTCTCTCTCTCTTTCATTGTTTGAAGTGGAAAATGAATAAGCTAAT